TACCGAGCGGCGGAATGGAGGCCCGAGGCATGGACTTGACACACACCTTCTTTGCCACTTTGGCCTTGCTTATGCCAATGTTCAGATCACTCCAGAAATGTGCTATCAACTGTGTTGCTATATGTCATCCAAGGAACTGCCGGGGGGGCTGTGATGCTTTCCACTAAGATCAGGACACTAAAGCACGGCGAACCGAAAACACAGCCCCAAAGATATGTTATGCCCTCTGATAATAGAACACAAAAACATGTAAACTCCTGGCACGGTATGAAAATACCAGAGGACATGAACTGCCCCAGAGAGGCTCGAACTCTCGACCTTCCGATGAATAATAACACATGCAGTGATAACAGTCGGACGCTGTAACCAACTCAGCCATGGGGCAGATGCCTGAAAGGAGGGGGGATGGTATGGGTAGGAGGGAGAAGGGTGGCACGTGCCGTGTTGGTAATGAAAACTGAACGGGTGACTCTCTCTCTCACTCTCTCTGAATGGCATCCTCATTCGCAGTATACGCATCGCAGTTTCTGAACAACGCACGAGGGACAGAGTCGGGTGCTGAGCCGTTGTTTTATTCGTTTACCACTTCGGAGGGAGAGGAGGAATATGATTTGGACACGGATGATCCGCATTTGGGGTTGGCTGATCAGGGACTGGGAGAAGGGAGTGAGGAGTTGACAGAGTCGTTGCTTGCTTCGAACGAGGGATTCAACCTCCCTGATCCGAGGAGGAGGAGGAGAATAAAAAGGCAGGACGTGGGATGGGTGTGGATGTGGGGTATATGCGTTGGTGTTTGTTATTTCATCGCTCTGGTCACTCCGAGTGGGAGTAACACCCGGGGTCTGCTCACCACCCTTCCCTTGCTTATCCCACTAATCTTCCTCTCCGCCTTCGCTTCGTATCTCCACATTCTCTTTCTCCGCCTCTGGGTGCGTCCAGTGATGCTCCTCAGCGCCCTCGGCACCCCACTCCTATTATTCCTCTGTGCACTCTGCGGCCTAGCCTCCTCTCCCCCCCTCCGTCTCCTCTCCCTCCTCCCTCTTCTCCTCTCCATCCACCTCCTCCACCGCCTCTACACCCTCTACCTCTCCTTCCCCCTCCTCCTCGCCCACATCACCCACACCGAACTTACCCTCGCCCTCTCCACCCACCTCCTCACACACCACCACCCCCTCCTCCTCCTCCTCAGCCCCCTCCTCCTCCTCGCCTTCCTCCTCCTCTCCATCCCCTTCGCAGTGGTCGTGTACACCGCACCGACTACCCCCTCCGCACTCTTCGCTGCCGCGGTGTGGGTGTGGTCCTGGGGCATCACACGAGGCGTGTTGAGGGTAACCACCGCCGCAGTCGTCGGGGGGTGGTATTTCTCCGTTCCCTGGGCTCCCCCTGTGTCTGACTCCCCGGTATGGCACCCCTCCTCCCCCTCAACCCTCCTCCTCCACGCAGCACTCACACGTGCATCCCACTCCTCCCTCGGGTCCATCATCCTCTCCGCACTCCGCGAAACATCTCTCTCCACCATCTCACTCCTCCTCTCTCTTCCCGTATTACTCTTTTCATTCCTTTCACAGTCGATACTCCCTACTCCTACTCCTCTTCGATTCCTCCTCCGAATTCCCCTCTCCCCACTCACACGATACATCTCCCCCCTCATCCCCCTCTCCTCCCCGTTTCCCCAGATATACATCGCTCTCACGGGGGTCCCGTATCGCACTGCGTCCCTCTGCGTTTCTCAGACCCGCTTCACCGGTACGGGAGGGTTCGGAGGATTCCCATCCCTCCTCTCCCCACTCTCCCCACCCCTAACTCTCCCTCTCCCTTTCGCACTCATCACGTATTATTACTTCGTCTCTCACACTCCCACTGGTACCCAAACACCCCACTCCCCCATAGCACTCAGTACCCAAACCCCCGGAATCGGAACCCCCGCAACACCAGAAGCTTGGCAAGCTCGGGAAGCCCCCCTCCTCGCAGCACTCCTCGCAGCACTCACTACCGCCCTCGTGGGGATCTTCTGTGTCGGCGTCGTGTGCGATGTCAGGGATGCGCTGGGGGTGTGTTGGGTGGGGGATGATGGGAGGGAGAGGGAGAGAGGGGAGTCCACACGGACGTTCGAGACGACAGAGCCCGGAAGGGAGGAGAGTAGAGAAGGAAAGACGGAGAGCCTCCGCCTAGGCACAGCGATCGACAAACACAGACGACTCGTCGGTCCCGTGTTTGAGTTTGAGTATTCGAGTTCTGTCGCCGAGCCGGAGGCGGAGGCGGAGGCGGAGGAGGAGGCAGAGGCGGAGGCGGAGGCGGAGGCGGAGGCGGAGGCAGAGGCGGAGGAGGAGGGGGAGAGAGATTCTTTACTTTCTCCAGACTCTCCAGATTCTCTCCAAGTCATCCAGATCCATCAAATCCCCCGGGAGGGGATTTCTTCAAAAGTCCAAGTCGACGAGGAAGACATCGATGACGAGGATATTAACCCATTCCATCATTCTCCGGACCCTTCTTCCTCCTCACGACCCCCTGCTTCCTCCTCACGACCAGCTCCTTCTGCACCGCCCCTGGCATCAGCACCAGTACGCTCGTCTTCCTCGTCCCTTTCCTCGCTCTCCTCGGGAGAGGAGGAGGAAGGGGGTTTTTTTGGGAGTGGGTTGTTCGGATAGATGGATAGATAGATGGATGGGTAGATGGGTAGATGGGTATACAAGGATGGCGGGGATACAAGGATGGCGGGGATAATGGTTACTTATTACGTAGCTGGGTAGGGTAGGTAGGTAGAGTGTGGGATGGTGTGGTAACGCCGAACTCAACCCAACTCAACTCAACCCACTCCATCCACATCCGTCTCCATCTACATCCACATCCATCTCCACTCCACATCCACATCCACATCCATCTCCATCCACTCGATTCTTTCCCCTCAGTCCAACGAGTCCGAATCATACCCTATCATACCAACCCCACCAACCAACCCACAAATAGCCACAAATAGGAAGGGACGGATATATATACTCTTCCCCGCTTGATATTCAATGTCTGGACTGTACTACTGTACTAATGACCTCTTTTCTCCCTTATTAACGACGACTCCATACTACCGTGACTTTTGGTCAACAATTGGCCCAAGTATACGGATGAGCTCGGTCATATACGATGCCGACAACACTTCGAAATAGGTTCTTCTATGTACTAGCCGCTTGATTTTGATTTGTTGCTTCACTGGCACGATGACCGACAAAAAAGCTGCTGTGCCGACAAAAAAAAAAAAAGGCACTGGGGTCCCGGGAAGCCCTTAGGTGTGAGGTTGAATGAGATTTGGATGAGTAGGGAGCAAGGTAACCAGCGTATAGATGAGTTTATACAGCAGAATTTGGATGGTCCCTCCGTCTTTCACTTGGTGACTAGGCTGGTCGAAGGGATCAATACGAGTCTTGATTCCGTTGTTGAACAGTTCATGGAAGGACGAAACTAATATACGTGCACACCCTTCCCAGTGAAAAGTTCACTTGCAGAATAAATCGTTTATGCTTAGTACCATCAAGGACTTGTCCCCGGAATTCATTGGTGTGATCTATGTATGTCCCCCCATCCACCCACCGTCTATTCCCATTCCCAACAGCTGGTTCAGAATACTACTACTGACAATGACCCATTCAAATACAAATTCGAATTCATCATATTCATCGATCGAAAGAACTGTTCTCACAACCAACCAACCTCGTCTGAGTCGCGTCCACGGTCACCACCATACTCTCCGGGGTAAGGGCCGCCTCAAGCTCGTCTTACTCACCTCGCTTTGTCCCGCTCAAACCGCACCGTAGAAACATCTTCTCTTCGAGACTGGTGAGGGTTGGGGAAGCTTTGATAATTGGAATTGGAGTACTAACGGAACGAGTCGTGAGATGAACTTCTAGATCTGAGTTCTACGTAGTTCGTTGTTCGTAATTATTCATAAATTTTCCGCCAAATAGTAGACCCTCTTTCTTTGAATCAAAAGTATGCAGCCACTCTCAGAAGTCAATTCATCGACGAGAATGGGATTGAACCGTTAGCTTTATCGTTCAACGTTTCAAACGTTTCAACTTTGACTTCCAATTTTTTTTTTTTTCCATTTTCGATTTACATTCTGCCCCCCCCCCCCATAATACTTTTTCCGTTTATTGGCGACAGCGTCTCTGATCATCCCAGGCTACAAGCATCCTGTGAACCCCACCTCTCAAATGCCAATTCACATTAAGAATGTCCTGCCACCTTTGGTAGTCTTTAGGCTCTAGCTCTAGAAGCTTTGTCTTCCCATCAGCCTTCACGAGCTTCATCAACGCCTTAAACACCGCTTCCACATACATCAAATCCGAGGTAAACCGAACACCTGTGGTCGTCCGCAATTCCTCAACATTCTGAATGAGTCCCAAAAATTCTCCCAAGCCATATAGGTACATGGTATCGCATGGTGTTTCGATCGTCAGGGTCTCCCTTTGGTCGAAGTTGATGAAGATATCTTCTTCGTGGTCGGTTCCGAGTTGGATGAAAGGAGCATCTGGATTTCGGGGGGAGAAACGGGAGGCGATGGGGAAATGCTTGAAATCAACAACATTAATCTCAGCCGAGATTTTGTCGGTGTCGGGGTGGTATTGGAACATGTGATGATCACCTACGAAGATCACGAATTGTTGGTCTGGGGCAAAGCCTATCTTATTGGGTAGGAGGTGTCCGTTGGTGCCTACCCGGCGACCTAAGCGGATGGTAAGTTTGGCTAGAGTGGAAAGTGGTAAGTATGCTGAAAGACAAGGGAGAGTGAGAGGAAGAGGGGGGG